TTCGCCAAAGTAAGGGTGTTATAGTTTCGCCTTGATCTATACCATCTTTTACTAAGTATGGTATTGTAAGTCCGAAGCAAATTCGTAATCTATCTTTTCCTCATTTCGGTCAATGCTTATTAGACTATTATAAAGCCTGGTTTGAATGTGATTCAGAATGTATTTTGGATGAATTACAGCAGTATGAGAGAAATTATATCTATTTAGAGATGAAGATTATAAACAATTTAAAAAAAATAGTAATATCCTTTCTTTTTAGAAATTTTTAAGTGGATTTACTAAAGAGTTACACCTTATTGCACAACATATTTTTTCAATTTGTATTAGCTCAGCATCTATTGAATGCTTATTCTCTACTATGAGTTGGTTATATAACTTTCGGAGAAACAAATTAAAGGTATGTCTGATATTATATATACAAATATTTATTAAAATATTTAGTAAATACTTATTAATTCAAATTTTTAGCCTGAAAAGGTAGTAGCAATGTGTCAGATACGTAGCGATCTAATATATTCACGCAGAATGAATGAAATTAATGAATCAAAAAAAGTTTATACAAACACAAGTTACAACACATGCAACACTATCCAAAAATAGAAATGGCAAGTATTTTAAAACATGAAGTAATTACAAATTGATTTTTATAGTTATAATTCTTTTATGAATCATTTATAAAATTGTTTGTAAAACCGCATAATAATTGTCAGGGATGATGCTGAAATTGGATGATGCTGAAATTTGGATCCTTAATTTAAAAATATAAACCCTACTAAAATCCGCCTATACTCTTTTATTATAAACACTAACCTTAAATTCTAATTGAACTATGAAAAAAAAAGCTGAACAAAACATACCAAAAAAACTTTATATTTTTATAATAAAATAAGTTGAAATTTCAGCATCCGATTTCAGCATTATTCCGACAATAATTATAAATCATCATTGTATTTATTGGTTAATTGCTTTTCTTAGTTGTAAATTACTTATAAAACTGATCATGAAGTAGCAAAATACTTATAAATCATTATTTAGATCACTTAATCTTAATAATTACAATATTTCTATCAAAAATTTTCGCCTATATATTATGCATTTTGTAAGATAAAACATGTTTTTAATTTAAAAAATCTTTTTTTTTTTTTTTGCTATCATAGATGAGATGACTCAAGAGTCAAAAGATGAAAATATGGAATTAGAGGAGGTTGAACAATTTGAAAAAAATGGTAAAATTAGTTCAGTTAATGAATAGCAAGAAACTGTAAATAATTGGGATTCTCTTGTAAAAGAGGAGGAAGAAGCGGTATTAGAATTAAATGAAGTTCATTCAGATGAGGAATTGACAGAATATAGTTTGGATGATAATCTTGCTATTACATTTCAAACTAAATGGAAATTAGAAACCCTTTTTGATGAAAATTATTTAGGACAACCGGGATTCATAAATTTATTAAAGTAAAATAGATATCAATTTGTACAGTATTAGCCAACAATTTTATATTATAAGAAGCTAGTTCTTGGGCATTAGTACAATGAAACAAAATAATGATATTTTATTTTACTGAATCTAGTTAGTTAATGCTTAAAGGTTTATATATCTATGTAACATCACATAATTACAATAATATTATGTAATTATTTGGTATAAAAATTTTGTAAGTGTAAAGTCACTTAACAATTTTATAAATTTATATTTTTTTTTTGTATAGCATTACTAAAGGTCCATAGAATATATAAAATATTTGTAAGATATGTAAAGTTATATAAGTTCATGTAGTTTATAATTTATATAGTGATACAGTTTTGAAGCGAATATATTTACAGATTCGATTTTTAAATGCTAATTATCAATTTAAAGAATCTGAAGTCTGGTTTTATAAAAAGTAATTTACAAGATTACAGTTTACTAGAGTTGGAAGGTTGCAACCTTAATAATATATATTGGTATATATTTTATAGAAATTGGACCAGATAGAAACTGTTACTATACAGTTACCTGAAATATATAATAATTTACCTGAATAATCCAGGTAATTTAATAATACCCAAGTAGAAATTTTCTTAATGGGTTCAATCTTTACTTTTTAAATATACTGTAGATTAAATATATTGCATATTAGTGAATATTGGCCTAGATTAAGTTTAATTTAGGCCGAATTTAAATTAAATTTTTTTTATGTCCAATAAAAAAATTTACAATGTCTAATCAAATTATTTGGACAATTGAACATTGTCCAAATGTCCAAATGTCCAAATTGTCCAAATGTTCAATATCATCACATGCCATTCCTGCCTGTTATTGTTATTTTAAATATATGGTTATGCCTTTTGGATTAACCAATGCTCTGGCTGTCTTTCAACATATAATGAATAACATATTTCAGGACTTTTTGGATCAATTTGTCATTACTTACCTGGACAACATCTTAGTTTATTCATCTACCCAAAAGCAATATAACTATCACGTGAAACTTGTTTTAAAATGATTGTGGCAGTTTAGCTTGTATGTTAAATTGGAAAAATGTAAATTCAATAAGAACAATGTTAATTTTTTGGAGTATCAAATCACACTAAGTGGAATTCAAATAGATAAGAGAAAGGTAGAAGTCATCTTATTATAGCCAATACTAAAAACTATTAGGAATGTTTAGCAATTTCTGGGTTTTGCAAATTATTATCAACATTTTATAAAAATTATTCTCAGCTTCTCACTCCCCTAACAAGTCCGACCTGTAAGGCCAATAAAGCTCTCAACTGGACTCTTGTTGCTCAGCAGGCTTTCGATCTACTAAAAACAGCATTTACATCCTCACTGCTTTTAGTATACACAAACCCTAATAAAAAATATTATCTGGAAACTGATGCTTCTAATTATGCTTTGGAAGCAGTACTGTTTTAGTACTAGGACAATGTTAAACTACATCCCATTGCATACTTTTCAAGAAATTTTCACTAACCGAAATCAACTATGACATATATAACAAAGAACTGTTAGCAATTGTTCAGCCTTCAAGCATTGGTGTCAGTATTTAGAAGGGGCTCAACACCAGATCACAGTATATTGTAACCATAAAAACCTTCAATACTTTGCTGGTGCTAAGGTCCTAAATTGCCAACAAATTCGTTGAGCACTTTAACTTTCAGATTACAACTTTGTAATATTATTTTGATCTGAAAGGGAGCAAAGAAAATCAAATGCTTTATCATGCAAACCAGATTATTATCCCTAGGAAGAAAGTAAGCTTATACTACAACTCCAAAACATTTTATTTAAAAAGACCTACCTTGATGCCACTTATATTATACTAGTTGATCATATATTAAGAGACAGAATACATTCTCAATTAAGAACAGACCTACTTGGCAAGAATATACTATGCCACCTACATGATTTATATCAAAATATTAAAAGGATACATTCTGATTATTAAAATTCTCTTATCAGAACAGTTTGTTG